TGACTCATTGCGCGACGATATAATTAAGGAAAGGTTCATTCTAGGTTTGAACGGAAGGATAAGAGGGAATGTATTGCGGCGATCCCCAAAATCTCTGGAGGAGGCTTTTGAATTTTCGGAAATCGAAGATAAGATCGAATCTGATTGCAGTAACCATACCGAACGTAGGGGGGTTTTTTCTATAGTGGAGGAAAACGTAAAACCAGTTAACAGCGAACCAGATAATATATTAGTGTCAAACGTTTGTCACGGTGATAGGATCGACAGACTGGAAAAAAGGGTTGATGCCCTAGCTGAAGCCTTTGAAAAGTTCGCTAGTAGTAGCAAAGACAAGGACCACCGAAATGCGGATATAAAGTTCTATGATTGTGGGCGCCGGGGGAATTTTGCTCGTGATTGTCCAAACCATCGAAGGGCGAATTTAAACTCGTAAAGGAGCGTTATGATAGCCAGTATCGCGCTCCTAGTGTAACACTAAACCTGGCTACGCGCGTCTTTTTTTCTGATAAATACCTCCCACTCATTAAGGGTAGGATGAATAATCTAGACGTAACCCTGCTCATAGATACTGGAGCAGAAAAGTCCTTGATAAGCTCGTTAGTTTTAAAACGTATACCGCCGAATTGCATCAAGAGAGCTAGAGCTAATGAAGAAAAACTTGGAATAAGGGGCATAAATGGGGTGGTAACAGAGTGCGAACAACTCGTTAGTGTCACCGTAAGTTATAAAGAGGTAGAACACCACGTAAACATACCGTGTATGCCCTTCCCTGAACCCGCGGAATACGAGGCTATATTAGGGATGGACATCATTAAGGACATCCCGAAAATCACCGAAGATCTCGGCAAACGGATGAATGTTAAGCCGCGTAACGCAATTAACAGCGTCGTCTCTCCAATAGATTGCCTCGCTAACACCCCTATCCAAGTCGAAGGACTTGATGATCTTGGGTCGGTAAGGAGCAACGAAATTCACAGCATCCTTAGCAAATACCCTAAATGCTTTGCCCACTCGATCGAGGAATTGACAGGAATGAAAGGTCCGTCCCACAAACCTATTATTCGATCGAACCAACCGATTAATACTAGGCAATATCGCATCCCAGAGTGCTACCTTAAGGGATTAAAGTCCCTAACAGATTCATATCTAAAAGCCGGTATTATTGAGGAGAGTTCGTCCGGATGGAACTCGCCCATCCATATCGTGGAAAAAGCTAACGGCGAACTACGCATGACATTAGACCTTAGACATATTAACGAGGTAACCGAGAACCAAGAGTTCCCTTTGGCCCGTGTAGATGAGATTATGGGAAAATTCCACGGCAGTAAATACTTTTCCGTTTTGGACTTAAAATCGGGATATCTCCAAATCAACCTCGATCCATCCATCCGCCACATTTTCGCTTTCTCAACTCCTTGGGGGAAATATCAGATGTGCCACTTACCCCAAGGAGCAAAGAATAGCGGCTGTTATTTTCAAAATGTAATGTCCAACCTCTTGGCCCCGTTCATCGGAATCAATTGCTACGTGTTCCAAGACGATATAGTCTTGTTCTCTAAGTCGCTCGAGGAACACATGGCACTCCTTGACAGGGTTATCGGGACGTTATATGATGCCAACTTGAAGCTTCATCCAAAAAAAGCAAACTGATTGCTAATGAAATCAGATACTTAGGACACGTCATAAGCCGGGAGGGCATACGTCCGGATCCGGATAACGTACGGGCTATCCGCAAAATAAAACCCCCTCATAATGTGAAGGACGTACGTAGCTTCCTAGGAATGGTGGGCTTCTTCCGCGGTTTTATACCAAACTTCTCGGACATAGCCTTGCCATTGACGGCATTAACAAGGAAGAAAGCGAAGTTTTGTTGGAATGAGGACTGTCAAACTAGTTTCGATCGTTTTAAAAAGTTACTCACTAACCCATCTTTGCTGAGACATCCCGATTTTTCTTCCCGCTTCCATTTGTTCACGGACGCATCGGACAAATGCGCTGGGGCGGTGCTAGGTCAGTTAATTGAAAATGATTTTTCCCCAGTGGGTTACTTTAGTAGAAAATTTAGCGGGGCAGAACTGAATTATTCCACGGTGGAAAAGGAATGTTTCGCTATCATATTGTCTCTCCGTCATTTTAGACCCATCGTGTTGGGACAACAAATCGAAGTTCACTCCGACCACAAGCCCCTTTCATTCATAAAGAGTATGAAGAACCATAATAAGAGGCTTATGCGTTGGTCGATTGAGCTAGCTGATTACGACCTTAACATATGCCATATAAAGGGTAATAGGAATTTTGTAGCCGATTTATTGTCGAGGCCTGAAAAGGCTATACATTTTAATGACCTGCACGCGTGTGATGTTGTCTCTGTTAATTCTGATCTATGGAAAAAAATTATCAAATCTCAGGAGGAGGATAAGTTATTTAAAAATTTAAAGCACCATTTTTCCAACCAAGCCCATAACCCGGTAGGCGACAACGATAACATTCCACCGGAATTTTCGCTAGAAGGCGATGTTTTGATCCACAAAAAACCAGGGCAGTTTGGTCTCCGTCAATGGAAACAAGTTTGCGTGGGAGAGAGTGTAGTCAAGGAGTTAATATGGGCATTTCATTGTTCCCCCTTGTCGGGTCACATTGGTTTAGAAAAGACTTGCAACCTGATAGATCGATACTACTTCATTAAAAACCTCCGCGCGCACGTAAAACGCATCATCCGTAATTGTAAGGTCTGCCAGAAATATAACCTCCATCGTGGCCGTGCCCCATTTCAGGAGACTGAAGTTGCTAGTTTTCCATTCCAGAAAATAGCGATAGATATCATTGGCCCCCTCCAGAGATCACAGAGCGAAAATCGGTATATTTTTTCAATGGTTGATGTCTACACACGTTTTGCTGAAGCCGTACCAATGAAAGACCAATCGGCGCAAAGTGTAGCCGAGGCCATATTTAATCATATTATTTGTAGATACGGTTGCCCTAGCATGTTAATCTCCGACCGCGGTAGTAATTTTACATCCAAAACATTCCAGGACGTTTGTAATCTACTAGCAATCAAGCATAATGTGACAACAGCTTATCAGCCATGTGCCAACTCCATTTGTGAGCGCTTCAATAAAACCATAGTTGGCACTATGGCCCGCATTTCACAGGGGGATAACCGTAACTGGGATGTCTTTTTGTCACCCGCGTTATTCGCTTACAACAATGCAACTCATACTTCTACAAATGAATCCCCAGCCTTTTTGCTGTATGGTTTTGACCCTCACTTCCCTATAGCGTTCCCCGACGAATCATCTGATGATGACCGGGAGGAACGTCTAGATACTACCTTTAAGGACAGGTTAGATACCATACGGAAGGCCGCCTATGACTTAGGTAGGAAATGGAATTCTTATAATAGGGAACGTATTAATAACAAAAGGGGTTATTCTGATTGGAAAGTAGGACAAAGGGTATGGCTGTTGCGAAAGGGAAGAAATAAGAGTCACGGAAAATTCTCGGCCAAGTATTTGGGCCCATTTAGAATAAGACGCAAGTTAGGTCCTGTTACCATGGAAATCGGCGACGATCAGGAAAAGAACACCTGTATTGTGCACGTTGATAGATTAAAACCATGCTACTTCCCCATGTATGAGAATGTTAAGAGAAGAAGGATGAGAAAACCTCCCGATAGGAAAGGGGAGGAAGAACCAACTAACGGTATGGACGAAGACGATGTATGCGGATGTATTATGCCACTACCAAGAGCAACATTCCATGAAAATCAAGCCAGTGGTCGACATAGCGAATATGAGGAACATGATACCACCGATAATTGTAATGTTAATCCAAACCCCCTCTCCACCACCTCAACGGTACAACTTACGAGGACATAGATTGGATTACCGTAAGCTTCACTACGGTAAATAGTTCGTAAGGGGAGGGCGTATGTGGTGGTACACCAGTATATTTTGTTGTTTTTATTTTATATATGTATATATAAGAATATTCTATTCCCCTTTCTCTTTGTTCTGTTTCTATACTTTCTGGAACTTTCGTCTGAATGTGGGTGGTCAGTGACCCAATTTCGGGACAAAGGAGTGAAGATAGCCCAGAGGGCAAGTGGGGGACGATAAGGACACTTTTGGCTTTGGACCGGAGGAGGAAAGACCGTCGGAGAGAGCGGTCTCGAGTTCGGTGTTGCTTCGGCCGGAAGGGTTACGAAGAACACTAAAGATAGAAATAGCATTGGAAGAAAAAAAGAACATTGGTAAAGCCGAGACTTAAGAGCGAATTTTGGGTCCTCGCATGTGCTCCGTCCCCATAGAAGAAAAGAATTCCAAGACGAAATCATCTTGTGGCCACCACCGCAGTCAACCATTCGGGTACCCGTTCCTTACTAGGAATTTCCATTTTTGTTCTCCCATTCTATTCTAATTCTTGTTCTTCCTTTCCTCTTCTAGTTATAAGTAGTTTTAAGTTAGTAATTAAGTGTCTCCTTTGTTACGCGAAAGAAAAGTTTAGCTCCACTGTGAATCAACAATCGGTGTTGTTTGTTCCCTTTGTTTAATTAAAGTGAGGAACAAGGAGGTCGGAATCAACGAACCTTTCCTGTATATATGTTCATACAGTAAAATAAAGCACGTTTTATTGTTTTATATTCCTGTCTCTTTGTGAGAATTCATTCATCACCACGTGCTCACCACAATATACAGTAGAATTCCCTTATATTCGTGGTAACAACATCCACTAAAACAAGGTAAAAATATATTGATTTGGCATCTGAACCTGAGAAAACATTCAAAAATTGCAGATATTTTCTCCATGTTTGTTATTGAAATCTGTTCTAATATAATATGTCTAATCTGTAAAGTAATGGACTTTTCAATATAACAGACAAGTCTATAACAAGTAATCATGATAAAATGATTTTCATTATAAATGACCAAATTCTTCAGTCTCATAGTGGTCTGTTATATTGAGTTTTTATTGTATGTATATATATATTTAAACTTTACCTTGTAAAATAAGAGAATGAAATTGATACAAAATGCCATTACAAGTGCCATATATTTCATAGTATAAAAATTTCTGGCAAGGAAGCTCTGAAAAAATAAACATACAAATTCAGTTATATATTCTTATTAATAATTCAAAATGAAAATTTTTATTTGAATTGAATAGTTGATTATATAGAATTACATGGCATACAAATTGATCATCTTGAATGCATATATACACACATATACAGTATATCCTTTATTCAGTATTAATAAAGAATATACAAGTATATATCTGTATTAAGTATTCAATTACAAATGATAACATTAAAAACATTAAATATCTTACATAATAAAAATCTAAATACTTTCCTAAAAATATTTTTAAAGCTACTAGTACTATTTTGTAAAGAGAATGAATCAGAACAAAGTTCGGTTTCAGATGGAGATTAATGTAAAAAAAAGTAAGAAAAATATAATTTAATTAGATTATTAATATAAGTACAGTACATAAACATGTAGAAAGGATATACCTGAATCATTTTCCAACTACACCTTTCCTATATACTAGAAGTTTTCTTATGATATAAAAGTTTAATAATGAGAAAGGCTTTCAAGAGACTACATATGTTATTAAACTAAGAAAAAAAATTTAAAAATTAGAAAGGATGTTGAATTATCCATATAAGACTTTTAGTGAAGAGAAACCAGAATAACCAAATAACCAGAATGAATATAAATGTTTTTAGCAATTGGTTTACAACAGAAATACAGTGGTGCCTTATATAATGTGCACCTCGTATAACGGACGCTGCGAACAATGGACTTTCTGTTTGGCCATTACGTGACTCGAGCAACAGACTGGCTGCGAACAACAGACTTCCCGTTCGACAGTTACGTGAAGCGAACAATGGACTTTCTGCGAACAAGTGCAAATGATGTTTCACTCTTTTGTCGTTGCCAATGACAATCTGCTATTTTTAAAATATATTATTATTATTAGAATATATTATTAGTATATCTGAAGTACAGAGCTCCTGTTGGGATTCAGCTTGCTCCCTTGTTTATTACGTACATCACCTCAGTGCAGGATATTTACATTTATTCAAGTGTTGTGCAAATCATGGCTTCTAAAAAAACAGAAAGGTGATTTCAATTGAAACAAAGCAAGAAATCATCAGAAGAAGTAAAAGTTGACAAAAACTTCCTTGTCAAATGGGGAGAGGTTCAGGAGTTTACCTACACTCATTATCCAAACAGAGCTGAGCACAACAGGATCAATGACACCCTTGCCCGTCATTTCTGATAAGTGTTGAAGAAGAGAGAGAAACAAACCACCTTGGACATGTTTTTCAAGAAGCCAGCTGCCAAAAGACAAAGGATGGAACAAGAGGAGTTGACCCTGCAAGCCCCAGTAGCCTCTCCTGAATCTGACGCCGATTAAAAAACAATAAAAAGAGATCTGCTGCATCTGTAAAAAGTCTGTATCTGTATGAATGTGTGAATAAAGTGTTCTGCCACAACCTCCTCACAACATCTGACTACCTGGCATAATTAGTGAGTGCTCCATTTTCATTTTTTTTATGGTACAGTATGGTTATTTTATGCTGCAGAACGAATTGTATGTTTTAACATGTATTTCTATGGAAAAATGCGTTTCGTATAATGAACTTTTCACTTAATGGACGTGCACCTGGAACGGATTAAGTATGTTATATGAGGCACCACTGTATGATATAAGATATATAATGTAAATTTAAGATTTACTCTAACATATTTTTAACAAAACAGAATTTAAAAATCTAAATTTATAATACAATTTATAATACAACTTTAATAGAGCTGAATGATATATTTATGTCATTTATTTTTGGCTACAATCAGTATATATTCTAACATGTAACTGGATACAAAATGTATAATGGGAATTTTGAATTGTGCAATGGGAATCCCATATTTGTGTAGTAATTAATTGTCGTATTTAGGTTTTATAACTATCTCTTTCTTCTGGTTATGTTAAACTTAAAATATTTACCTAAATTATAGTGTATGGTAAAACCTGTCCAAAATGGACCCTAAATAAAAAGAAAACCAGTTTAAACAGAAAAAATTTTTTTAAAACAGAGCAATTTTCTCTGTTAAAAAATAATCTGTTCAAAAACAGAAAAATTATTCAATACAAATTATTTGCTGTAGTTTTTTTTTTCATGGGTAAAATAAGAGTATGGAAGGAATGTTGGTAGGATTTATCATTTGTATTGAATATATACAATAGATTTTTTTGCAGCTGCAATATCATTATTATTATTTAAACTATAATCCGCAACCACAGTGCACTTATAGTGTAGTAAATTATATCACATGCAGGTTCACAGTGCATACTACACAAGTCTAATGTTTAAAATTGAATGGTAATTGAAATTCATAAATAATTACAGGTTACAGATGTAAGATTTATGGTATTGTCCTTATTTTCCATTTATGTCTTTTAGAACAGCTTATTAATGCTTGCCAAAACAAAACTGATATTTGTGCAGTAGAAAAAAACCTTAGAATAAGGCCTGACTACAATACAAGATATAAGACTCAAACCTCTGCCCTGCTAGCACCATTTTCAGTTCAGGAAAGGGGTGGAAGTCTTCACATATTAAAAAGTTTTAAGCTGAATGGAAGTCTGAAAGATGGAAGTCTTCATCACCTTTAAATACCCCCGATTTAGTGCCGAGTGAATTCCACCTCTTTCCTCAACAGGAAAAGTGGCTAGGAGGGCAGAGGTTCGAGACTAATGACGATCTTAAACAAAAAAAAAAGTTAGGGCCCATCTCAAATTATTGGCAGCAACATTCTATGACAAGGAGATGGAAAAGCTCATCCACAGATATGATAAATGCCTCAATCTTCACAGTGATTATGTCAAAAAGTAACCATGTTTGTACCTAACTTTTGGTAATAAATTCATTTTGTTATTGATACTCACTCAGCAGTATGTAAATCAAAAAAACACACCACCTTAATTTGCTGAGAAAATTTAATGAAAAGGGAAATGTTTTCAGCCAAATCTGTTGGCCATCATCAGGCTAAGATATTTGAATATAAATAAAATAGAGCAAAAATTTAAATACAAATAAAATAAAATAACGAATGACATATACATATACATGTATAAAGAAAAATAAAATAAAATAAAATAAAAATTATTATTATAAATAACAAAATATGTATATAAATACAGTAGAGCATCGATTATCTGACTCAATTGGGGACTCAGGTTGGTCAGATAACTGAAAAAATTGGATAACCGAAAAGAAGGAAAAAAATACATTATTAGTATAGTATATTAGAATATTAGTATATCCCATGTAATTAGTTTATTAGTATATCGCTATTAACCAACTTTGCATTGAATTTTCATCTATGTCTAGCCTAACAAATTTTTTTAAAATAATAATCGTCGCTATTGTGTCGTTAAAAATTATTTTAAAATTATTTTATTGCTCACGAAACAAACAACCACTCATAATTAGAAAATTAAGTCTCATTTAAATATTGGCTTCCCTTCAATGGTCGAGCCGTTGATGACAGCTAAAACACAAATGCAAAACTTTAACAAAAATAATATTAAAGTAGCCAAGAAATAGCCAAATATTGTAATGCCACATCACTAGCGAACATTTGAAACTTGCCGACTAGAATGGTCGGTTAACTGATGTGATTGGTTAATTGGGGGTCGGATAATCAACGCTCTACTGTATATGCATAGGATAATTAAATATTAAAATGTTATATAATAATGCATTATATGAAATTCAATGAAATGCAAGATATGCAAAAATATTAAAATCAAGGCATTAAATTAAGAGCTCTCTAATCGTCTGATTAAGTATTTCCAGGCCGAAGGCAACCCTTCAGAATATCTAGAATTAATGCATGCATCATGCAATCTGCTCTTATATATTTCAATTTTTTCGGCACAAATCGCCAATGTCGGTGAATGTATTTTGTAGATTTGGCTGAAAATGTTTACTTTTTCATTAAATTTTCTCAGCAAATTAAGGTGTTGTGTTTTTTTTATTCATTTTGTTATTTACACTTGTCTTTTTTTATGGACCATCCAAGCTTGAAAAAAAA